TGCAATTAACAGTAATTTTGTTATCTGAAATTCTAGAGTGACTTTTACATCACAAAAAATTGTTTATGCTATATAAGCCTAAAAGCAGTTTATAACTGAAACATTGCTCCTATTTCCTTGCTGTTGAAACCTTGCTAATAATGAGCTACGGGGCAGTAAAGCAGAAAACTCAGAGAAAAGCAGAGCAAACTCATACAATTATGGAGAAAAATGCAAGATCACCTTCCACAGAAAGGAATACGAATCCTCTGGTTTAAGGCACTTGCTCAAAATCACACTCAAGATTTTATCCATAAGCAAACTGAATCCAACTAAATGAATGCATTTTTCTCAGAACGTAGAAAAGCCGATCTAGTCATGCTGGGGTTTGTATTTGTGCCAGTGACACAGATACTTGAGCTTATGTCAAGTGCAAAAAATGTTCAGGGAAACAGACTCTAGTATTACTAGTAAAGATACCCAACTTGGGGGGAGAGCGGGGAAGAACAGCAGTCTTGCCTGGAAGTTGAATATTTTGGCTTAAGAAAATGTTTTTAATCTGTTTATAAACCAACAGCGGCATAGAAAGGTAGAGCCAGTTGTCCAGGCAACAGGACCAAGAAAACTTGAATTTTAAGTTCCTTTAAGACTATCTTGAGGACACAAGAAGGTTGTCTTTCTCAGGTTGAACAGGGACTGAATCAATCTCAGCTTGAAATGAATTCCCATACTGCTGCACTTTTGCTCTCAATTAGGCCAGAACACTGAGAAAACCTAAGGACAGCAGATGAGAGAACGGGCAGGGAAGCAATGCCAAGATCAGTAAACTACTTCAGTCCCCTCTGTTCCTCACCCCCTGTCAGTTATAATCTCACCTATCATTTTAAAAATACTTTGACAGATGCAAATTTTGTGGGAATATAAAGAAAGCCTCAATTCAGTAAAGCATTTGGGAATGTACTCAAATTCTACTTCAGTTAATACCAATGCACATCACAGAAGCGGGTCCTAAGTATGTAAGAGAGGCTTATCTGTGAGATCTTTACAATATTCTTACTTGTATTTTATGTTTTCTTCAATACAGTTAAACTCCAAGCAATTATTTATTAGGAAACAGTCACACAGGCACAATAAATATACACTCCCTGACGGAAAAAGGTTTTTTTTAAAAACAGTTATAATCTGAAAAACATACAAAGCTCACAAAGGCTGTTTAGAGTCTGTCTGAAAAGTACCATGTTTAATGCTGTTGACAAATGTAGCTTGGCTTGCCAAATAGATCAGGAGATGGAAATTCTGGAATGTTCGAAAAATGGGTATTATTTATGCTTTTCTGTCCGCATGGCAAGGGAGAAGGAATACTGAGTTTAAAAGCACAGGATAGACATAAAAACATTCTGAAATCTGAGGGACTCTGACCAAGATATCTTTACACTACTCTAAAACATACTGCTTTTCTGCATGAGTGTGACTGAGTGTCCCTCAGGGAAATATTCAGATAAAAGTACCTTGTGTGGTATAATGGTATAATACCAGTACCAAGCTAATTTTGCTCCCATGACACTGAACAATGGGAAATATTCAAAGGTTCCATGCAACTACAATTCTTGCTAAAGCTATTCTGACCTGCCAAACTAGTTAAGTAGTTTGCTGAGTATTTTTTATTATTATTCCAAAAGCTAACTTTTGTTTTTTTGCTTTTTAAATAACTGCAAGCACTTGAAAAATGGAAGGAACACACTTCAGTGCTCCATTTTCTTATACCTCATACAGCCAAACTGATCCTTTTATGAGTGGCACAAAAGATGTAATTACTTCAAAGCAGATATTCTGACATAACTGGATATTTTATGGCAAAGCTATAAAAAGCCTGCAAATGCCATAAATTCCAGCAGTCAGTGATGTGTATGTCTACCCACGCAACTGCTACTAAATTGGAGTTCTTATTTTCTGACATATATTTCCATTTTTTAACAGGACCCAAATTTCATCTACTGATTTCCAGGTGTATTTCCTTTTTAACCAAATTTTCCTCTCATCTTTGGCTACAAAAAACATGTGAGTCACAACTTTCCACGTCCAATACAAACTTTTTATACATTCACATATTCAGAGAAATCTTAGAAGAAATGTATTTCTGTTTATTATTCACTATGGTCTCTCCTGTTTCAACAGTATTTTACATGCATTACAGGTGAAAGATGATCTATAATTGCACTTGTAAACAACCAGGGTCAGCAAAATCTAAGAAACAAGACTGCAAGCATGACTGCTGGTGCTTCTTTTTCTTAATGATGGCCTCAAAGTTAGACTGATGGCCCTCTGGGCTTTTTGCCAAAACCGCACACCAGATTAAAATAGAAAGAAGGGAAATAGGCAACCTGGGATCCAAAATTTAATTCTGACCTTATGTATAAACTCTATGGGAGTCCTGGGCAAAGCAGAATGTTAATCTACCATATAAGGGGGGCAAAAGGAAAATAGAAAAAAAACTTAGAGAAAAAGAATGTATAAAAATCTCTTCTCTATCATGTGCACATTTTGGTATTTTGAAACCATCTATCTTGAAAAATAATCAGATCTTCATGTATAAACATTATGTTATTCTCAGAAAGTAACTATTTAATGTGCATTTTAGTTACATGTCTACTGCCCACTTTCTTTCAGCATGAGACAAACTATATTTTTCATGGCTTTAACCCACTCTATTCAAACCATGGACATTTCTGCTTCATGAATTTGTGGGTTTATGGATCTTATTAACTATGAAACATGGATAGTTTATCAGAAAGCAGATTTTAAAGTGAAGGCTGAAAAGATCTCTTCATTCTATGAGAAAAACAGGCTCTGCTTACATTTTCCCTCACACTTCATAGTGGAACTTAAGTTTTCTTCCGCTAAAACATATTTACAAGCAGTAAACATTTATTCCACATTTAAAATAATAACATAGTGTTAAGTCCAGAATTGCAAATGAGCAAACATTTTCATGAAATTTTGCAGATGCTGACTAAGTTTAACAACAGAGTTTTCAAGGAAGTTTTCTTTCTAGGGATCACGTTTAACTTCTCAGTGGAGCAGCAGTAGTATGGTAAACAGATTAAACTCTGTTCCTCTGTTTTCCTACTATAAAACACATATATTAATCAGCTATGGACTAGTGTAACCCATTGCACTTGGATCCTTCACTGATTTTAAACACAAATACCTAGAAAATTAAGCAATTAAATACTTACTGATTATCTATTTACTACCTATTAAAATAAGAGCATTATTTTGTTTTGTAAAACTATTAAATAAATATAGTAATGAGTAAAAACAGTGTAAGCTATTCTGAGATGGAATCTTGAAAATGGGATATTTGAATTACAATGCTAAGAATGCTTGCTTTATTGATCATTATTTTTAGATTATTTATAGAAGATATTCTATTAGTTTCGTCTCCTGCCCTTCCAAGAGAAAATTCACAGGAGACTATTAAGTTCATCTACACACTACAATTCAGAAGCACAGAAACATGAAACAAGACCATTTTTTTTTACTCTATCTGTGAAGCGAGATTAACCTAATACAAATCTCCAAACTGAACCTAGTGCTCTCACAAATTTACAGGTGGTTTATATATGAAGAAAAAGAAGTATTTTCAAGGCAATTAATACAATATAACATCCTCTCTTGATACAGCTTGACAAGTCAGAAATACACAACCAACTGCGAAACAGCAACTATTTTCTACTGGGAAATCCAAGTCATCAAAAAATTGGAAGGGAGGTTAATTTGAAGGTAACAGGGGAAGGTTTGGAAACTGTTACTCACCTGTTCACATCAGACCGTAAAATACACTCATTGTTAAGTGCAACAAATGTTATGTGCAATAATGTCTTCAACACAGGAATAAATCCTACATTTTTGCTGTTTTCCATTTTGCCTTCATCTCATTGTCTCTTTTCTATTACACAGTTCTAACACTTGATTAGTTGTGCTGAATGTGCTGAATTTGGAAAACACCTGATAGGAGGCTGGACTTTATCTGTTACAACAGGTCAAATAATGAAACTGGGATCACATTGGTTTTGTCATTTTGGTCCCTGCGCACTAGAAACCAACAGATATGAGTGGTTCGTTTACACTGCTATCAGCAAAAGCACTTCTAAAACTCTAGCATGGGCTGTTCACAGTAACAGAGAATTCCTTGGAAATATAAGCAAGATTTTCAGAGTGAAGACACATTAAGGTTACAACCATTTCTAAGCCTTTTCCCATTAAAGTAAACCCACAGCTCAGATAGCCATTGACATGTGCAGTCTGTGCTGTACACTGCTAATACTTTGAATACAATCTCAAGCTATGAAAATACTCTTGTATAATTAGATATGCAAGAAGAACTATTTAGATGGTTCTACTGCAACAACCATCTAAGAACCTGCTTTTCCACACGTGGATTCAAGAAGATAGGAAAGGAAACACATCAAATTTGCATATAGTATATAAAAATTTTTAAAATAACTCCTGCATAATTACAGAATAGAGTGATCCAAAAGGTCTTCACTACAGTGGACCACATTAGGTAACAAGAATTTTTTTCTGCTTGGGTTTAAGTTATGTTTATGTTCTCCCAGAAGTAGTAATACCTACCGAACTTTATTTAATGTAGTGATTTTGACGTAACTTATGTCCCAAAACATTACCCTCCTCAGGACAAAAGAATGAAGCAATGTTGCTAGACGGGATTCACCATTACAAATTTTCCATTAGCTAGAAGACTAGAAGCCAAGTCAGGAAGACTGATTTGCTTACCCTAGGACTGTAACCTCTAGAAAACGTCCTTTCAAATTTATTTTTTCACATGATTAACAAATGTAAGTATTCATGTGAACTGTAGCCCATTAAAAGCCTATATATTTACCATGACTCTCCATTCCTGTATCTGAAAATACTTAATGCAGAAGAATTTTCCCCCAAAATATTTAACCCAAACTTACCATGAATATTTTATGTTACTCAATTATTCCGGGTCATACCTGCAAACCTGCCAGTTGAGCAGCTGACTTCCCTTTGAGGCACAGAATGAGTGCCAGAAATGCATTTAAGTCCTCCAGAGAGAGGCTTCTGACCTAAAACAAATGAAGAAATAATACATCTGAATATATACATCATATATCTGAAGGATCTGAAGAGGAACTTTCTGAAATTTGTCTCCTCTTGCTCAAGCACATCAAATTTAACTCAATGAACTCATAAAGATATGACCACCATGAATGCATTGTCTAGGAAGAGATGCTTAAAAGGAACAAAACATTTACTTTCACAACTGGAATGAAGTTCATGTCCCAGCACACCCATGTATAGTGTATATATATGGATTTCCACATCTCAAACAAAATGCTTACCTCTCATGTATTCCCCTGTCCTTGCCTATAAGACCTAAATAGCTGTTACAAATTTTACTATAAAGAGGGCTCTAGGTGAGATCCACCAGGCACTCCAACTCATCATCAACTGGAACTCGAGGGAAGGTTTCTCTTGCAAAGTACAGAAGTGAGCATTATGGGATTACAGTCAAGTTAAAGGGCTGCCTAAAACTCTTCATTGCCTTTATTTTAACAGCTTGAATTTTGGGGAATATTGTGTATGGATATTTCAGTCCCTTAGAGTTTTCTATTAAAAAGTTTAAAAGTGACAGAAAAAATGAAGGAGAGAAAAAATAACAAAAAATATTGATGTAAATCAACAGAAAAGGAAAAAAAATATGAAGACATCTTTAGTTACTTCATTCATGTATTTACTTAGGAGAAGCAACCAATTATTTCCCCCTCAATATAAAAAATATTCAACCACTACTGAGAATTTTTTAAAAAATAAGGCTCTGCTGCTTATCTCACTGTAAAATACTCTGCCCTCTATGACTCTGTTAAAACTTGCATAAAGCACAAGAATTTGAGGGATATCAGAAAAACTTTCAAAAATGCATCTTGGTATTCATTAACTCCACCTGGCTGCTGAGATCTGATAATGTCCCTGCTTTACCCTGTATTTCAAGTCACCTTTGTGTAAATAGCAACAAGAGAGGTTTACTAAACCTGCACATTTTATATGCTGCAGAAACAGAAAAAGTGTCTTTCATCTACATGGTTGTTCTTTATTTGGAGGATATTTGAAAAGCACTCTCTCTGAAAAGATTACTCTTCAAATGACACTTTCTTAATATAGTTAAGATTTGTTTACTGGTCATTTTTCCTCACTTAAAAAAAATGCCTCTAAAATTTTCATTAAATACTTTCCCGTAATTTTTGAGGAAGGCCAACAGGTCGGTCAGTATGCTGGTTCCTGCAAAAAACTAAGTTTTACATTAGATTAAATGATAAGTAATGAAATTTTAAAGAAATTTATTTCTCCCTCATACAAGTTGATGGAAATAATGTTAGCTAGCTTCAAGGCAGCCTACAATTGCTCAGCTTAAATTGCCCTTGGGGTAACAACCTACCTTCCCTCTGAAATGTAAGACTAAAGTGTAACGCAAAGACGTGAATTAGGCCACCGTTAGACAAGCATTGTTTTCTAAGCTATAAAACAAATGGAAGCAGTATGGCCAGCTCAAGGCACAGCTGCTGACACTCTTGCTCTCATGTTTTCCTCTCAAACACCCTAAGAAAACAAATGGACAATATCAGAGAACTAACCAAAGTTTAAAAATACTCAGCAATGAAAGATGTTTAAATCCAAATCAATTCCCTAGTCTGGGAAGGGTAGACTGTATCAGTGCATCTCAGAGGGCAGAAGAGAATCAGGAAAATGGGACAGGTGTTGAGAAACTGGCACTGCTATGAAAATCCTTCCATCAAACCAAGCCCTTTGCATGATTTCTCTGCTATTATTCTTGTTGAAACATGAGCTGCAAAACTGTTTTCATTTCTGTTATTATCCAATGGCTAATGTAAAAAAGTTCTGAAAACCATATCCCTAACAAGCATTTTATTTTTTTTTAATCTTTACGCTGTGATCAAGGCTCAGTAAATTCACATTTCTGTAGGTGTTCAGTCTTGTTACTCCTCTTAATCCCGCTAAAGAAACCCTCCTCAAATAATTTAGTAAACATGCTATGAAAGCGTGTACAGGATAGCACAACAAATAAATGAAACAGTGAAAATAGATAAATAAATTACCAGTAATTTCATATCCAAACATGAAAAACACTTAAAGCTTCCACATAATGGATATTGCTTAACTGAAACCACCAAGTATGAAATTATGTCTAATGAGTTTCATCTTCAAAAAAACTCAATTTATATTCTGCTATACAAAAATTAAAGAAAAAAAGGACCTCTATGGATCATTTGTATAATTCCAATATGTGCTTCCTCAATGCATCATCTTAGTTTGAGCAAACATGTAGGAAAGAAAAAGAAAGGAAAAGTCAGGGAGAAGTTGTTTTCATGTATCATACACCACTATAAATCTGTTACTGAGGAAAGTGAGGTCTGAAAAAGCAAAACAAGACAAAATGCAGTTCAATGTAAGTAAAAGTGCAACAGAGCTTATCAGATGAGATAAAGGCATTACAATTTCCTCATCCTCAGAAAGGAAAATCTGCTTTTGAGATCAGCATTTGAAAGGTAGCAAGTACAGACAACATATTAAATACTTAAGAGAAATTTAAACGAAGTAATCTTGTGCTCCTTTTTATTACAATTAAGGTATTCTGTAGGCTGCCAAATGTTTAGAATTATAACAGAACTGCTACCTAATGATCACCTATAATTCAGAATTTAATGAGAAGAGCTATACCCTCAGCTCTGGTTTAAAGCTGAGCAGATTGACAAGAAAGTGTGAAAAAGTAGTGAGAGCTGACTAAATATTTATATTGCCTGTTTGCACAGCCTGCATAGTCACCTGAGGGAATGTCTTTCGACAGCACAAAGGAAACACAAAAAGAGAAGCTTTAATTTGCAAATAGGTCCCAAAAGGTGGTGGAAATCCCTCAGTTCATAGTCTCTCTGTTAAACTGCCCAAGAGGCTTTGTCATGAGCATGTAAGTGTTATGATTAACTACTAAAAAAACCCAAGTGTTTCTTGAACAGGATGATGCATGTTAAATGGAGTAATTAGAAATACTGTAATGCAGTACTATTATATTTGATCAACTATGCCTACGATAAAGAGAAAAATCCAGCACAGGCTAGTAAGAAACAGTTTATTAGTCAGTCACTTCTAACAGTGCTGATAGCTGAAGAAAAAGCAACTCTGCCTCAGTTACCTGCATCATAAGATAGGCCAGAAGGCAGCAGAATGCTGCAACAGGTGCTTCTAGAGATTGGAGCTCTTCCATCCCATCCTGAAGGTGAAAGCATGCCAGAAATGTTATATACCGTTGCTTTTCCATGCCAGGTCCTTTGGCAAACCACAGTGTTTTCAAATTAGGTGTTCCACCTACAAAAAAACCCCATTATTTTATCTTGGCAGCAACAAGATAAAACATGCCTTCCTTATTACAATCTCAAAGGAAACAACTGATCTGCTCTTGGCACTTGCAAGGACCACAGAGTTGGAAAAAAAACGTATTTGACAAAATTTGGCATTTGAAAAAAAATTAACCAAAATATCTAAGGCCTGTAATTTAAACAAATGCATTGAATACAGGCACATTTAAGCAGTGGTCTGAATTCAATTGTTACAACAACATTGTGACAACTTCAAGACATCAGGCTTTTACCCTTTACAAGAAAAAAGTTTGCCTACAAGTATGTCCTTTCCCTTAGGGATCTGTAGCATTAAATGAGGTTAAATTCATCATAAAATAGCAATTCAGCAGGGAACAACCATATCTGTTTCTTCCCCCTCTCTCCTAGAGCTAACATATCAGGGTTTCTTGAGGGATCCTCGTGTTACCTGTTTTCGTGGACAAACTGGTCACCTATATCATTTTCTGGCAAACACACATTCTCCACAAAACATTGTGCTGGTATGACTCCTCTGCAGTAGGTCCACTAGCAAGTTTGGAAAAAAAAATTAAGGCTACCTGGTATTTTGCACTCCCTAGGCTACTGTATGAAATGCTGTTGCAAACACACACAGAATAACTGTCATTAGTTATGTATAATGTATCTTTCCAGACTTTTTATAGTATCATTTACCCTGGTCTCCAAATCCTTAATATTTACCCCATGTTGCCATCTCCCAACTTGTGAACACGTGTGAACTAATGTAAAATTTTCTCCCTATTTAAATTACATTTAATACATTATCAAAATAAACACTAATGCACGTGAAATAACAGAACAGCTAACTGGTTACACCTAAGAATCCTGATTAAAGACAGAATCCTCCCATAAAGTACTGCTGCTTCTGTAGTTAAATAAAACAAGGTGTGAATTTTAAATGTGGACTAATTAAGCTACATTTGGTAACACCTTTTCTTTTTTCTGTGTGATATGCAGCAGCTGTAGTCCAGTTAGGAACACTTGGTGATAATAAATGGTAAATGTGACAAGGTGCTGAAATCTATATGGACCATGTTTATTCAGCCAAGAAAGACCATTAACCAAATGGTACTAATTCCTGGGAGAGAGGGAAGCTAGAACAGAAGTTAGTATTTTCTTTCTTCATCTCCTGATGGATGTTTCTCTTACTAATTTTATGACTAACTCTCCCGTCAAAAGTTTTAACCATGTGAAGAACTACCATCATACAGTAAGTTTTCACTCTATTTTGTAGAGAAATACATATATTAAGAAAAAATACCAGTTGCTTGATTGGAATTAGAAATGGAATTAGAAAAGTTTAGTGATAACACAAATACTGGCTGCGAGCGGCCCAGTACAGACAGCATGATAAGACTCAGACTGCTGGGTTTGATACTGGTAATTGCTGCCTTAAGAAAGAAAACAACAGCAGAGCCTGACTTTCAGGAAGAAAAGCAAATATAACAAGCATTAAAACAAAACAAAGCCAACTTTTGCTACCAAGGTTAAGCAGCTTTAATGTGTGAGACAATTTTTACATGGGTAAACTCAAATAGTTTTGATGGTTTCTGTTTTCCAGAAGGTTCCAAATCAGCTGCATATGAAGAGACATGCCAAGAATAAGTTAAAGTACTCTTTCCATCTGTGCAATTTTTTAATATGAATTGCATCCAGGGGTATACCTAATAATAGAAATCCTTGTTTCTTCAGAGTAAAACCATGAACTACATCAATAATCAAGATTACATATCTATATCGAGACACCAAAAAATGCAAGACATCTTTTCCATAAACAGTTTCTTATACTTTCAGAAACAACATCTACTTGCGCCTGAGAAAAAAGAGGTACTGATGAATTACAAGTTATTTACTCTAGGGAATAAAACTTAATGCTATCTCCTTTTGCACATACCAATCAAAAGCATTATTTTTCTGAAAAAAATCTCCTCTACAAGTAATTAAATTCCATGTAATATTCAAGAGTGAGCCAAATATATGAACCCTTAAATGAAAGATAATTGAAACAAATACACTGAAGTTTAAATAATCTCCCATGACCATGTGTACAGTCAACAAAAGACCTAAGATTCATATACAGTAGTCCCCCAAAACTGTTTTCTGCTCTTATTATAGCCTTACTACATACTTTACAGCAATTAGAAAACATTCCTGAAAGTGGGAAATTTACTTGGATGTTCATGTCTATTTGAAGTAATGACTATAGAAATTTCATTTTATAACATCAGTAATAGAATTTTAATACTTCATTATTTTACATGCTCATGTAAATACTGAGCAATAAAAATAAGTCCATAAACTTATTTTAAAACATACTTGCTAGGAACACTCAACATTAATTCACCTACAACTGCAGCCAATTTTTAAAGATGTCATGAATGAAAATGCCAATTAAATGTGACCATTAAAGAAGCATTTCAAAGACAGTAATTTGTCCATGAGCATATTTATGACATATTCCTGTAAAATGCAAGTATTAGAATATTGAAAGTCCACCCAAACTCCTGTGATTTGAAGCTACAATATCCTACACATTCTCAGGAATAAAATTAAAAGCAGAATCCATACATTTCCAATAAAGACTTTAACACTTCCTCTGTTCCATAATAAAATGCACACATATCAAATAGACCAGCTATGCGCACAAGACATGGTTGTTAAACAGTATTTTCTTGGATCACAAAATTCACATCTCAGAGACAATTTTTATCAATTTAAGTGCTGCTCTGTCAATGTGTGGGAAACATCATGATCACATTCATTCAACTGAAAGGAAACATTCCAGAAGGGAGAAAGAGAGACAGAGATGAAGAGCAAGTACAGATGCTAATTCAGAAGACTGTCTCTCAAGAAAAATACATACACATAATACACACTATATTTTAAATATGTGTTAAGCTATCATCTTACAGCTTCAATGCTTTGGTTTTTAAAAAACTATTCAATCTATCACCTGCAAGCTTTTCAGATGAAAGATAAATCTGCTGTTTTATACATACACAAAACATCCGTGAGAATCCTGATTATTTTTTTAAGATCAATATCTATGGCTATGTGCACTAAAGTTCAAAGTTCATATCAAATATTCTTTCTTCAGACTTTTAAAACTAAATAAAACTGAATAGAGTCAAGATTTCCCATATATTCTTAGTACACTTCTAAAATAGTTGCGATGATGAGGTTATCAATTATTCCAAAAAGATGAAACAAATAACCTTCCCAGATCAACTGCACTTGCGATTTTTCAAATAGTTTCTGGTAAGGTTTTTTCTCTTTTCTGAGTAACCTGATCTTGATTGACAGCCTTGAACTCTAACTTCCTATAACAACTTCTTTAAATTTAGCCCTAAATATGATCCCTGTCTGAAAAATGTGATGCGCTGCTGAGAACCTTATTTGGTGAATTAGAAAGTCAGGCTGTGGAAAATAGAAGATGCATGAGCGAATGTAAGGCATACAAATATGGACTGCAAAAATTTTAGAAAAATATTTGTTCGCTGAAGGAATGACAACAGAGCACTAAAAATAAACACTAGAAGTTCTCCTCCCCCCCTTTTTTAATAGTCTGCTTGAACAGCCTTTCATTACTGAGTTAGTAAAGATTATGGCTAAGAAGATGTTGTTTCTATAAACTCCTCTAATGTGGTTGCTATAAACAAACACAGTGATTTTGAATCCTGCTTATTGTCAACATGAAGGTGGGTTCTATGTGTAGCATGTTTGCAGAGCAATAGAACCAAAGTATATGACATTAAGTAAACTCATCAGCAAGGGAAGAAGGTACTATCTGGGAAGGAGAATTTCACAACACTCAATACAGTGTATTTGCCATGCAAACTGAAACATAACTACATAGGTATGCTTTATCCTTTGTTGAGTTTTGTTTACTCATTTTACAAATGCATACTCCCAGATCATTGTATGCCAAAATAAAAGAGTTGTACAGGATAGAACTATCACTTTTTACCCTGCATATTCATATCTATTTGGGAAGTTTCACAGCAATTTCATGCTATCATCACGTCAATTAGATAATCGCTCTCCTAATACCATCTCAGGGTACAGGACTATTGTATATCAAATTAGACCTTGTTTGTACTTCCAAACAGTTCCTTTCAAAGCAATTTTGAAACGGCTGGTATCTAAAGAGCAACTGTTTTTCCTTCATCCTTGAATCTGAAGACTCTCATTAAATACACAAGTTTCAAATATGAAGACAAATGTGCAATCTTAAATTTAATGTAATTCTAGAAAATTAAAAATAAGTAGGTTCTAAAGAAATCCCTAACAACAAACAAACAAACAAACAAACAAGATCAGTAGAAGGACTGCTACAGAAAGCTCTGGGTACTGAGGGAAGAAGTGCTGGTAGTTACTCTCAAGAAGTTGAGTAGATAGTAATTTTTCTTAGCAAGATATCAATGGTATTGTATTTCAACAGAACTAATTCCTTTCATATGAAAGACTAAAAAACCTCTGAGCTTCTGATCCACACGATAGCAGATGACTAGAGAGAGAGTTGTGAGAGTAAAGAGCAAGGGGTAATGACTACAATAGTATAGACAAAAGAATAATTAGAACTATTTTCCCTCTGAAACAACAAAATTTACACAGTACTGTTTACTTCCTATCCTAAATTGTATTGTATGATGCAATTTAGTAATAAAGAGATGAGTGACATAAGCAGTGCCCAATCTTTTCACTAAAGTGCAAGGTATTTCCTCATAAATAACGCATTCTTCACAGCACTGATTTTGCTAAGAGTGTTCATTAATGTGTTCTTTACCAAAGGAGGAAGATAAAAACACCAAAAAAACCCACTTGATGCTTAAGAGAGCTGAAACAGCTTCACAGGAACAGATAGCTTAATTATTTTTTTACTGAAAGCTGGATTCTCTTTTTAGGTTGTCACACATGATCTAAAAATAGCTCTTTTTTATATTCTCTGCCAGTCTTGTTAACACATTCTCTCAAATAGCTTAATACAAGAATTTTAATATGGCCCTACACACCACTTATTCTGGCCTCAGAGCAGTATTTAGAACCTCTAAGAAATTGTTTGCATTTCAAAACTGATGTTTGAATTAGCACTGAATTTAACAAGACATAGTAATAACATGTAGCTCAAAGCTGAATCATATTATAATTACACAGAGCAATTAAAAGCAGTTACAGGCATGCAGCATTTCTCCTTTATCAACTTGTTCTCCACAGTCATTTTGGATTCCATATAAAACATGTGATGATGGATTGTCTAAGATGATTTTAGTGATGTCATTATTTCAGTTCAGATTTAAACACACTTTTATTGTACCTGGAATAGAAGGTTGTACAGGTCGTATCAGGTCTGGCTGCTGGAGAGGATTTCCAAAATAGACAAACCACTCTTTTACCAAAGGATAGTTTCCACCTGAAAAAAAGACAGAATCAGATTGGTAAGTCAAATACAAGTACTGACACTAGTGTAAAAGTTGGAAGCAGTGGTGATCAGGATTCTAAAGTCATGGAAGATGCTTCATAATGACTTGTTTGCTCAGCTTCTTTAAACATAAACCAAGAAAAATGAGTTTTAGCATCTTTATGACAAATCATCAGAACAAATGAAGAGAGTTTGAATTATGTACTATAAACATGAGTCTAGAATTGCAGCCAAAAATGTAAGTACAAAAGTCTGTGGAAAGCATTCTAAAATGGCTTTCAGGCAATTTTAGGCCTTCCCATTTCCAGGCAGTTTATAAGATTGGGAGGCATCTGGCATAGCTTAGGGACCTACATGAGCTACCTCAGTCTCTCAGGGCTGTCACACTGCCACATACGCAGGCAGTCCTTAATATGATTCTCCTCCCAATTTCCCCTGACATTTCCTGTGTCAAGGTTTGAGACAAAATCTTTATAAGGAGGCCTTGAAGGCTACTTGAGAGCTGACAGCAATGGAGTCATCCCATCATCAGATGCAGAGCCTTTACAGCCCACTGTCTGAACCTTTTATCTAGTATAAAGGGGCTGTTTATGCATAATAGCTCAAGTGGCTTCCTACCTTCTAACCCCAACTCGGCCCCATACCACCCTCCCACCCCCCCATAAAGAGTAAGGTGCCTCTTTAATTAAAAATGTCACTACTGGCGTTGTGCATCTAACTACTTGATGCTTAAAAAAAATCCTCAGAAAAATCTCAAGCATTTAGGAACTTTTGAAATGCAGTCTATTCAATTTCCAACAGTCAGCTTATCATCATTCCAATGTAAGTATTCATGAAAAAAAACTAAGATCATTACCATTGTTATAAATGGTGCTTCTGCATTCTGTCCAGATTTTGTCATGGTCACCATGTTAGTGCCCTAAATTTCCACCCATGTAGTCTGGTAAACAGTATGAAGTGAACAGATGTAGCTAGTCCTGGGCACTTGGAATAATGTTTTCAAGTCTTTTCCAGCCAAATCTCAAAGGTTTTTCCCTTCCCTTGTCTCTTTCCAGATTCACAGAATTGCTTCTCTAATTCCTTCTAGCTTTCACTCGTGCTGAAGCCACTGTTCTTAAAAACTCCTGCCTTTATCATTCATTCAAATCACCCTGCACTTTACTGCACAAGTATTTCTGATGCCACATTATGAATCCTAATCCTAATTTTACCTAGCTTAAAACAAACCTAACAAATCTCTCCAACACTGTCCTCTTCACTCCACCACCCCTAAAAATTTGATCACATTAACGTCCTGGTCTTGTTCAAAGCTTAACACTGCAAATTACTGTCGACATGAATGAATGAGCAGTGCGCTATGGTGCACAGACAGAAATTCCTCAAATGGAGTTCTAGTGTCAGGGATAACAGACGGAGAAAAGAACATGGCAAAATCTGTTTTACAGTCCTGCTGCTTCTTCCTTCCTTACCCACAGACTTGAACACAATGGCAAAATAAAGGCAAGGGACTGAAGAACCAATGACTGGACTATGAGGGACAGCATTACACCTGGCATGCCATGCTTCACTGTTCAAAAACTGATGACATTAAGAATAAAGTGACAAATGCCTACACTGGTGAAAAAAAAAGCCTTAAACTGCACATTCCAGTGGCCGAATAGTCTCATATCTTGATTATAAATAATTGCCTGTGATAAAGCTATTTCATGAACAAAACCCTCCAATTTAATATCCCAAAGTCACTTTCAGAAACATTCTGATGTTTAAGAGTACTGTTTTAAAATTATGTAAATTACTCTGCTTCATTCAGTCTATTCAGCTTGCTCAGCCTCTCAAATTTTAGCCTGGCTTCTTAAGGAAGCAAATCTAATACAATTAGGACATCTGTCCTATAATTTATTCATGGATGCGCTGCTCTGTTTCAACTAAATCTGACAGAGAAGAGATTTCAAATGTATTAAATTCCTAAACATTTTGTGAAACACGCGACTCAGCTGACAGAGGGATCCTATTAGGGCACCAACTGAAAGAAAGGCAGGAAAGCCAAGTTACCTATTGTACCCAAACACTGGATGGGAAATCAATACACAGGTAGCTATGGAAGAGCTAGATCTGAACAAAAAGGTAGATGGGATCTGGGGAGAGCAGAAGGCAATAGGGAACATCCTTGAGAACACCATATATTGCAGGAGGGAGTTGTGAAAGACATGGGGAGAAGCTAAGAGGATGCTAGGAAGGAGCATGGAAATACAAAAGCTTTGCTGAGGGGAAGCTGGTGGAGGATGTCATTCATTCTTTCTGAGTTCCACAACTCACAACTTAGCAAAGTGTCACTTGATTCCAAATGCCAGTGAAATATTATTTTCACATCACCCGTCAGGCTCAAGAACAGTAAAAAGAGAAGTCAATAGGAAACCTCTAGTTTTGTTCTTTTAATCTATGTGAATGTTGGTACAGGACACAGCACCACATCAGCTGAGTGCTTTTCACTATTATAATCCATTAGTAACAAAAGTATATGACTACTCACATAAACAGCCAAACAAATACAGCTGAAAGCAAGGTCCTGCAAACTGACAGCACATTAACATATCAAGAACGAAATGGAGATGTTTACTAAATGCCAACCCTCCTTGCATGGAAATATCTCTGGGGAAAACCAGTAATTTTTCAAAAATTTTCCCCATGATGCACATACAGAATATCATTGGTGAAATTAAAAAAATCTGTTTGTTTAAACAGATTCTGAACAGCCTGTGGAAGCACTGCTTAGGCAGCCTAAAGAAAATTCCAACTATGTGCAAAACACCGAAACACGAGACA